TTGCACTATATTCAAAAATCCATTTCAATGCATTATAAATACAAATCTAAAACATAACAAAATTCTAAATGATAACATAAAAAAACTTCATGAGTTTGAGTTAGTCAAGAAATTTTAAAATGGAAAGTTGGATAAACCAGAATTCATTGAAAGGAAGAACTATCAAAAGAGAACATTAAAAGACAAAAAACCCCCAAAAAACTGCAGAGTGGGAAGAAATAAGTTTATAATATATTTTTTCACCAAAGAGCTTTATATACAGAATATGTAAAAACTTCTAAATTTTATTAGCTAAATGAACAAAAGACTCAAGGAAGCACTTCAAGAAAAAAAATACTCAGATTGTCAATGAATATATGAAAAGACACCTAACTTCATTAGTCATCATGGAAATGCTCATTAAAATCACTCCCACCTAAATGGGTAAAATTTAAAATATTGACAATACTGAATATCGGTGAAGAACTCTCAACTCTCAACAACAATTTATACTCCAACATTGCTGATAAAAGTGCAAACTGGCATGATGACTTTGAAAACTTTTTTGACAATGTCTCCTAAAGCCATATATATTAATACAAATATTCTATGACTCAACATTTCTACTCCTGGTGTATACCCAGAAATGAGGAACTATATACCTTAAGTTTTAAGATATGAACATGCATATTTATAAGAGTGTTATTCATAGTATCCAAAAACTAAAAGAAAATTTCCATCAACAGTAAAATAAATAGATGATGGTATCCCTATAAGATCTCTAAATTAAGCTACAATCTATAATATACTTATTAAAGGGAAACATATACATCAATTTAAAAGAAATAACTACTACATTCAATAATGTGGGTTAATCTAATGAAGAAAATGTTGAGCAAAAAAAAGATACAAAAAAGTATGTAGTGTATGCTTCCATTTACATAAAATTCAAACATCAGGAAAACTTGTCTATAATATTGAATTCAGGATAGAATTTACATGTGGACAAAAGGAGTAACATGACTGGAAGGGGCAAGAAAGATGAGATCACAGTGCTTGTGATATCCTACTTATTAATCTGGATGATAGTTTCACTGGTATAATCACTTTGTGAAATTTTACCAAGATTTACATTTAATATTTGTGAACTTTTCTCCATATATGTTATATTCACATAAATAAATTTATTTTAAAAAGGGAACATTCTTAAGTGAAAATATCTATATTAATCAAATAAATGTATGGTGTAGTCTTATAAGAGGTTGGCTATCCTTTTCATTTGAATCATAAGAAATGGCAGTGAATTAGGAAACCCTTTATCTTCCTCTAGGCACTTAGATCGAAAACTAGAGAACCTATAAAAAACAAACAGAAAACAAACCAAAAAAGAGGAAATCTTAAAAAAAGTTGACTTTATTTGCTTGAACATATAACTCTCCTCATTGTATATATAACTCTTCTCACTAGATAATCAGACAGGTATAAAAATATATTATTTAATTGTATTTTTCCAATTTAAGAGAGAGCCATTATCTCTAATAAAACTGAGAACCAATGATCTAATTAAGACATATACTCATACACAGTAGACTTATAAAGCTATATAAAGTTATATAAATTGCTTATTCTAGTGATATGGGTACATGAGTATTATGGGCATTTACACCATTGCAACTAGACATAAATCAAGACGGTTCCTGAGTTATAGGTTTTCTCAATTTGGGATGCATGGAGAACTTTCCTCTCCTTTCTCATCTCATCCCTGGTGCTATATCTGTCACCAAAAGAAGGTGGTATACACATAATCACTGACTACCATTATGGCTGAGAAGTGACCATCTATTCTCAGCTGCTAGAATTTCATTCACTGATTCACTCAAAAAATACTTATTAAACACCTACTATATGTCAGGCAGTGAATTAGGTGCATGATCCTTGGTCTTCCAGCAGCTTGCACTATAGCAATCCAAAGAAAGGAAGAGAGAGAAAGAGGAGAGCATCTCAGAGCTGTGATGTTGAAACTGTTAGTTTTCTCATTTCCCATATGGTTGAGAAAATGAATTTAGGCACAGAAAATATAGACGATTTGCCCAAAGCCACTCAACTGGCAAGTGGTATGATCAGAATTCAAAGCCTTCCTACATAGTACAGGCATTTAAGCACTGCACTATACTCCCTCTATGGCAAGAAGACCATGATAGGAATGAAGTTGGTGTGTTTTAAGAAATTCTGTAGATCTGTATAGATGGAAGAGAGTCAAAACCTAAGATTAGATAAATAAATTGAGACCAGATTTTATATGGCTTTATAGACTGTGTAACAAATTTGGACTTTTTTCTAAATGCATTGGGAAATCATTGAGGTATTTTAAATAATGTGTTATAGTTTTATAATTTGTATTTTAAGAATAGCTCTTCATGCTGCTATGAGGAGAAAGGATTTAAAGGGGAAAGGGAAGGGATGGGGCCAGTCTGGGGCAATTGTCATAATCCAGGAGACAGATGAGGGTAGCCCCGACAAGGTGGGAAAAGATGAAAAGTGGAAAGAAGCAGAGGATTTGATTGCAAGGTTTATTTTGAAAGTAGAACTAACAGTATATGCTGATGAGTTGTAAGAGTGGGATGAAAGTAGAATCCACAAGATTCCTAAGATTCTAGTTTGAGCAGTTTCCATTTACAGCATAGACTGGTAAAAGACACATTGGCTGGCAAATCAAGACTTCTCTTTTGCAATTCTTGTTGAATTTGATATGTCTGTGTCAACTTAACATCATGAGATCCATAAATTTTAAAAGGAGAACTTGATATGATAGATTGCAACCTGCAGTCTAGGAAGCAAAGCCTCCAGCTGAGACTGAAAGCAGGTGATTCACAGGAGGAAAGGTGTGGCAGGAGTTTTATGCTAAACAGGTTAGCTAGACATACACATTTAACAGGTTATAGAAGGATCTATGAATATTCATGAAAGGGGTCCGTGCATATGTAGGGTAAGCAAGCATGTATGTTATCTACATCCCATGTTCACTTTGAAATGGAGACTTAACATTAAAAGGCAACGAAAAAGGCTCCTCTATACATCAAAAGGTGAAACAAAGGATATAAAGGTGCTTTGTGTGCAGCCTCTGTGAACCAGCCAGAAGCACTCCACAATTATTGGTCATTTATCAGGAAGGAATGCTTTGTAAATTGGTCAGCTGTCATGTAAAAATCCCCCAAAATGGGGGCAGTGAGAAGTCTGACCACACATCAAGTGGTTGGTTGAAGTCAGTGGAAGTGTCTTTCATTCTTTGTTTTTTTAGAGCTAGTTTCTGTTTAACTCTTAGGAAAAAAATCTAGTGACAGTTAGTGAGGAAGGGAGTGTACTGAGGTGTGACCAACCTTCCATTTTGTCATGGCTGGGAAACTTAGTTTTCTTTCAGGTTTTATGGTGTCTCCTTGGCCAAACGGGGTCTATTCAGTCAGATTTGGGGGAGGGGAGGGGAGGGGGAGGGAAGGGGCTAAGATTTTATTTTATTTCCACAGCTGTTAGATATCTAAAAAGAGATGTCAAGTAAACAATTGCTTATACAAGTACAGAGTTCAGGGGAAAATTCTAGGCTGGAGGTGCAATGTGAAAAGTTAGTTTATGTAGGGAATGGAAGCCAAGCAGATTGCTGCTGTCATTTAAAGAGCAAGTAGAGAAAGAAGGAAAGGCCCAGATAGGTCATAGGAAGATTTAATGTGCATGGAGAAGGGGGGACCAAAAAGGAGATTGAGAAATGTACCAAAGATAGGAGGTAAGCCAGGAGAGTGCCAGGAAGAGAGCATGTTTACAGAAGGAGGAAGTGACCAATCGTGTCAACGTTACACCAGTTTAAGTAAGATAAGGAGAGAGAAATATATGTTGGATTTGGCAACATTTCGTGGAATGTTATGGTCCAAAACAGACTGAAGAGTGCTGGAAAATGAATTAGAGCCAAGGAAGCAGAACCAAGAGGTATAGACAACACTTCCAGTTGAGAATAATTTACAGAGGCATTGGTGCAGACTGTTCCACAGGCTCTAGGAACTATAAACTGTTTTTCTTAGAAATGAATGCAGAAAGTTGTTTCACACAAGGAAAATGGAAAGTATTAGCCAAACAGCAAACAATAGCAATCTGGCTTTCTATGTAGTAAAAATTGAAGAAAGAGAATTATTTAAAATAAATTACCAAAAATCAAGAAAATATTTGTTGTTCCATCATCATTTTGACAGGTAGGGTATTTAGTGCGGTATAATACAGGACTCATATCAATCCATCCTGATCATGGTATATGTAGGTATTCAATCAACCTACCAAGGTTTATTTCCTACTCTGTTCTGGGTATTGGGCTAGACGTTAGGATTTAAAGACACAAAGGTGAGCATAAAACAAACTCTGTTCATAAGGAGCTAACAGTTTAGAGTGAGAAAGAAAAGAAAAATCATCCATTATGGAAAGTTTAATTTCATATCAGAATCATAATATCAAATCATATGCAGAAAAATGACAGGCTAAAAAAATACACTGAGGTATGCCTTTAATTTGATATTTGGGCCCTTCCCGTGAGACTTTCAGCACTTGTCAATCACCTGAAGTGGGACTATTTCTATGGCTATTTTGAACAATGAGGTAAATTATGCTAACAGTATGCCCACTGTATTCTAAATAATTATAGTCGTTTGGACAGAAGTATTGCTCTATACATAATTATGGCATTTTAGAACATGCATTTTCTTGATATCTAAAAATATATGCACACAAATCTGTATCTTTGTACACCCTAATTTACTTAAGCTTCTAGAACAAAGAAAGATTAAAGTACATTAATAGATAGAAAATTTTTAATTCTGTTAAGTAAAATAGAAACATTTTATTGCATAGAATAAGTATTTTAAAGTATTATACAAATACCTATCATTTACATAAACTACAACAGCTTATATACTACCTTTATAATTTGTCAAATATGTATATATTTACGTTCAATAGGAGCCCTAATGAACAATGTTTCTTTTTAGAAAAGAACAACTGTTCTAAGACATCAGCAGCCAGACCTAAATTCTTCATCAATGGCAAACATGGTTTGTTTCTATTACTTATTTAAAATTACCCAACCTCTTCAAGGACCAAGAAACAGCGTTGGCTGCTCATATGGGAGAATACCAAGGTAAGAGGTTGTTCATTTCTATGAAGTGAAGTTTAATAAAGCAGCTTCTGAAAGCATGAGACAAAAATTGGAAACAACCCAAACGTCCATCAACAGGAAAACAGACAAACAAATTGTGTTATGTCCACACACGGGAATATTTTAAAAAGCAAAGTACTGATACCAACCCTGTTTTTAAAGACACATGGATGAATTCCAAGAATGTTGTGTTAAGCACATATCGTACGATTCCATTGGTACAAAGTTCTAATTCAGTTACAACTAATCTGTGGTGATGGAAATAAGAGAGTGGCTGCACCTGGCGGTAGAGACAGGCTTTCTAGAAAGAGTCATGAAGAAACGGTTCCAGGATAATGAAACCTTGTCTTTTATACAAGTGTATGCCATTGGCAAACTCCATCAAACTGGAACACTTAAGATCTATACATTTAATTTCATGCAAATGTATAGATTTTTTTTAAGTAATAAAAAGTAACTTTTTAACTAACCTGGAAAAGAATGTTTGAGAAGAGATTGATAAAAGGCAAAGTAGCCCATACTTACAAAAAAAATTCCTTTTTAGGATTTATAAATAATTATACCTTCTGAAATTCTCTTGTTGAATTTATTATTATTACCCTTTTTAAATTTAAAAAGAGCAAGAATTACTGAAGAGCCTATAAATATCACATCAAGTTTGAGTCTTTCTATTGATGGAGGTATTTAATATTCTTTTTCAGGGAGATCAACTGACACTTTGATGTTTCGTTTATAGATGCAAAATTCTCCCACATTAAAAAAAAATCCTGCATCAACAATTTTGGAAATAATGAAGGACCTTGTTTCTCATTTTGACTTCTCTCATTCTTTTCATGGAACACTTAACTCAATTAAAGTTGTTGACATGCCACAGTCCAATTTTTAATGTCAAAATGTAGCACTTGACCTCTTTTACTCCACAGTGTTCTTTTATTAATCACGTTTATATGGTGCATGTTGGCTCAAGCCTCAGAAGGACAGGCCCCTTGTGATTGACTATTAATTGATTGATTTTACCAGAAACATCTCCTTAATACTGCAGGACATGGAATGTTGAAGCAAATATTGGGATTTAATGTTTTGAAACTCATTTAATGCTGTGCTCATTTAAAAATAAATAATAGTGGGCAGCTTTTATTAAATTGCCACTCATTGGATATGAAATTAATACATGAAAGAGATGAAAGTTACTGGATACCTCTGTCTGACAACTGTCCTGTCTGAATTGAGAGCTCCAGGGCAACATTGTTTCCCAGGAAAGTGAGTCCTTTGGTCCCAGGAAATTGGTCCTTCGGGTCACTATAGCAGAGCCCCAGAGAGGCAGAAGACCATCAGTAAGTAGTACCATGATAAAATTCCCAGTTCAATTTCATTTTAAACATCTTCAAAGAATTTGCACGTGTTTTATTTTTTTAAAAAGGTACGCATTCAGTATGGTATATCCAAGAGAGTTATTACAATTTTTCCATCTACAAAGACATTAGCACACCATGAATGCAGATTGACCTTTTGCCCCATACCAATTTGCTCATCTTCTCACCAGGACAGCAAGTCAATTGCACAAGTCCCCTGATGGGAAGAGCAGACTTTAGCGTGTCTGATATATGCTGTTTAAGTTATAGGTTGTAGAGCTCCGAGAAAAAGCTGGAAAATGGAGTTTGAGCTATAGAAAAGATAAAAAAGAAGGATCACTGTCATAGCCCAATTGACTTTGTAAATAATGCTGGGCTCCCTACAGGGGGGATCTATTGTAAACACTGAATTTACATTTTAAAAATCTGTGGAATTTTCTTGCTTGTGGAGCCTTTAACTTGAAATATAAATCCTACCCAATTATAACATGTGAAAAACTGGTTGTTAGCTAAACAGTGGATCTCATTACACAGGACATGATACTTTATCTTTGTATTACTATCATTGTTTTCACCAACTTTGTCTGATTCAAATAAATGCATTTTTATTTTTTTAGGTGAAAACCTAATCTCCATGATATAGGCACTCATTATTTCTATATAATATTGCCAACGTGTGTGAAAATTTAAAAAAAATCCATGGTAGGCAACCAAAGAAAGTAAAATTGTAAACTAACATCTTTTTTTCCCCAGATAATATGTTTCTATTACCTTACTTCAACTGGATTAAAAACAAAAACAACTCAATCTCTCCTTTATTTCAGACCTAGTTTACATGATTATTGTCATATAGGCAAAATGTATATATGAGAGATTATTTTTGTACAAAGAAGAGCATTCTAACAAATTTTACAGCAAAATCTCACTTTCACTTTTTAAGGGGAAGATCAAGATCAATGTCATGATGTCAAAAATAAGTGATTTTTTTAAAATATATGAAGGACTCTCTAAAAATATTGTGAGAACTAAAAAGAAACTTATGGGTGTATCAAACATCTTCCAGGAATAAATTTAAATATGAGGAGAAAATAAATTTATTTTGCGAAGGAGAAGAAAAATCTTAGTAGATGCCACCCACGGAGGGAATCTATTCTATTCCAAGGATGACATATAAAAAACATATAGAGAAAGACTTTTTAGTCCCTACCTTTGAGAAACTCTGAAGCTAGTAGGAAAGATAAAATATACAGATTTAAATTAAAAAAAAAAAACACTTGGAAAAGAAAGTTATTCAGAGTGAGAGAAATAGTATGGTAAAAAAGCATAACATTGTCTTTATTAGAAAAATATAAACTGAAGAAAAGCCTGCTTTGGATGGATTTTCTTGTAGAAGGCATCATAGAAGTGATAATCATGATTTGAATTTTCAAGAAAATAGAATTTCAATTAGGACACCAAAGAGGTAAAATACTAAGGCAAAGGAGAGTAAAAATTGCTAGAAGAAGAAATGAGCATGGATTTACAATCATAATAATAATAATACAGGTAAAAGTCCTTGGTATATGTTAAAAGCTTATACGAAAGTGAAAGTTTATGATTATTGACTTATGATTGATTATAGCAAAGGAGATCAATGTTGAGTTGAGAAGAGCATCTTAATTGAGCAGCAATAGATGGATTTGAAGAGGTAGGGTAGGACCACTCACATGAGGAAATACGGATAAATTTGATCTTAAATCTTCATAAAGTATTAGGAAGCTTGTGTAGATCCTTAAATAGGGAGAAAAATCACAAGAGAAGTGCTTTATTTAGATTCATCTATCAGCTGAGCTCAAGATGGATTATAGTGAGAATGCTTTGGAGGCAGGGAGATCAGCTGTAATGCTGGGTCAGCAGTCTTTGAAATTATAAGAATTTGGAATATCCTGTGTCAGTTCAACTTTTATTAAGCACCAAGTGTTTTCTGGACACTGCACTGGGCTCCAGAACTGGAAGGATTGCAGGGACTCTGCTACTGAGGATTTTACAAAATATTGAACCTCACTTTCCTGCAAGCTGGCAGTGAGAGTGTTGTGAATCTGTAGCTATAGAGGTAGAAGAGGCACACAGCCCAGCCTAAGTGGGAAAAGGAAGGTCGCTTGAGCATTAGACTTGTGCAACAATGGCAGTGATGGAAAAATAAAGAAAGATTCTAGAAATATTTGAGAAAGAAAATGGAAAGCTTTTATTGGGTTGTGAGTTGAATGGATAGGAAAAGTGGAGAACACATAATCGAGGATGATAGCTGACATTCTGTCTTCATCAGCCAGCTCAATGGGTGGTGTGCCAGTAATTGCCATTCTGAATTCAAGAGGATGATTCAAGAGAAAGAAGGACAGTGGATTCAGTTATGAACATGGTTAATCTGAGGCACCTATGAAACACAGCTGGCTAGGTAGAAAGGGCTGTATAAATCTGCACATCAGTGGAACAGTCAAGATAAGATACATGAGTTTGGGAATTGTTAGCAGTTAGGCAATTATATAAAATGATGAGTAAGGTGAGATATCAAAAGAAAAGAAAGTAACCTGAGAAAGGCAGAAGATAAAATTCTGGGAACAGCAGGTAAGGGATTGGAGGAAGAAGAGGGAGTTGAGGAAGGAGACAGAGAAGAAACTGGCAGTTATAGAATGAAAACTGGTAAGAAGTGATAAGATAGAAGCCAAAGAAGTGGGGAACCTCCAGGAGACTAGCAAAGAGAAGCCTTGCTGCACAAGATTAACAGAGAACAGTGACTAACATGATTCAGAAATGGTATGGAAAAATAGAGTTCTAATTCCGCATAAGAGCTTGAGGCCAGGAACTGGGACAAATATGCTAACATTGATAGCAAAAGCATTTGAGGTAGATAAGCCAGAGAGACACCTGCGGGTGTGAGTTTTTTGCCAATCTTCATTCGCTGGCCTGTCAATCGATGTGAGTCTACAAAATACTGTATAGTTTGTGACTCAATTGCATTAAAACTTAACTCCATCGCTGTGTTCAAGGACTGTTAGGCTCAATCAAGAAACTCTTAACAGCTGGTAGACTTCACAAATCAGAAGGAACAAGACAATTTCCACAAAGGACTGTGATTCTTATAGTTGTTTCCTTTCCTCACTTTATAATGGTATCATTAGTTAGACTTCCAGACACTACATAAAGTGAAACCATTCACTCAAGCTGACATTTATACAGGCTAATCAAATGCCTGTGAGGTATAGCAAATAACTAACCATAGCACCTGAAAGAGGTTGAAAAAAATCATAAAATACACTTAAAATGTATCCTAAAAATCCAGCAAGTGAGGTTTCTCTCAGCATTGAAACAAATTTGGAAAGAAGCTATTATGCAGGCAATTCAATACCTACCGAAGTGGTTGTGCTGAAAACCCTCCACCCCTTCACCACCCATGTGTCAGACAACCTCAAGCAAAAGCAAGCTTAAATTGGTGAGAGATTCAACACGTTCTCCTCCTCCTGTGCTGCCTTGTGAAAACCATTCAGCTATACTTTCTAACAGTTTGCAAAGCTGTGCAGATGAGGGTATCTTTGACACAGTCATATTAAAGGGGACACGCAAGGCAGGAGCATACAACACTGTCCACGAGCTACTGAAAGGCAGCATCACCTTTCATTTCAGCATGTTTCAAATGTGCAGCAAGGACACACCACTGGTGCATGATTGATTTGGGAACCTCCTGGGTGGTCTTACCTGTCTCGTAAGTTACTCTGAGCATATCCCTGGGGTATCGACCTTCATTCTTAAATCGCAGCTAGATCTAGAGATCCGTAAAACTGTTTGGTTTTATGTATCTGTTGCGATTCACAGGAAGTGAAGCAACACTGAATAATATAAAAAGGAATATCCTCAAATTCAGTGTGAAATTTCCTGTGTGGCACAATGTTCTTAAAACAGGAGAATAAAACAACTTCCTTTGATCTCCTCTATTTCTTTCACGTCTGGCAGTCAGTAAAACCAAACACAAGAAGTGTTAAGCAAACTACACAAACTACTTTAGTCTGCAGAGTTCATGGGTACATGATGTTCAGTCACTTAAAAATAATGCTTTGCACCTCAATCATATCTTTGGGTCAAGTGTCTTAGAGTATTTACAAACACGAATTGCCCCTACAAAACTCTGTGAATCTGCCCATGTTTGGGACTGGCAATCTTCAGAGAGATTTAGCAGTAGCATGCCCCACTGCATTGTAAGTCACTTGTGGAGTAAGAAATAAATATCAAGATTTTTTGCTGCCTGTGTTCTGCTCAGAGCATGGTTTGACATTTCTGCCTTCATTTTGAATCACTGGTTCTTCAAATATTAGGAGAAGATGTGACCTCAAGGACAGGAAATTTGTGAAAGAAAAATCCTAAGTCTGAAGGCAAAAAATACAACTATTTAAGGGTGCCCAAACCCTCCCTATTCAAAATACTGCTTTCAGGTTAATGTGTTTTCAAATCTAAAATGTAGATTTTTCCTTATTTATGCAAGAAACCCAATTTTTAGTTCTCTCTCTCTCTCAGTCTCTCTCACTCTCTTGCTCTCTCACTATTTATCTCATTGTCTCCCTATTATTCTCTTGTTCTCACTCTCTTACATTTAAAATTTTAAAATATATATATTAATGACCCCTGTGGA